ATGCTTTTTACTATATTGTCACAATATCATTTAATTGAAATTGTGTTTTTTTTCTGTTCCAGTGCATTCTTCAATTATGAATTGAATTAATAGTGTGTGTCATTACTCTATAAAATCAATGATACTGAATTCTTAGAGCACCTTAACTCTGCTTGCAGCCGGGGAATTTACTTTCCTATCTTCAAGTTTACCCTAACAACTGCCTGTTTTTCAAGCCTGCTTGTTGAACAGAGTTGATGATGATGAGTTATTGTCCAATGAGCAGACAAACAGCTCTAGAATTCACTGTTAACATACATGGATGTAAATGTTTTACCTGAAGAAATTCTAATTCTGTCCAGTCCAACTCTCTAAAGCTGTCCATACACCTTACAACCATCGCACGACTTTCGTTGTGCGATGGTTGTAAGGTGATTAAAATTTTGTACGATCTGCCCATCCTGGACAGGCAGATCGTACTTGCAATCATCACAAGCCCTCCCCGCTGAGGGGAAGGCTTCTGATGATTGCAGTGCTCAGCAAGCAGTGTGCGCATGCGCACAGCGGCCTGTGCGGCATTCGTCTTCCGAGCACGCCACCAACCCGCCGAAAAACGTACGATTTTTGGCAGGTTTTCCAGCGTGCTCGGAAGACGAAAGTCGTGGGACCTTACAGTAGAAGCAGGCGCATGCTGCCCATACACCTGCCGATTATCGTACGATCGCGGGATCACCCGCGATTATCGTATGATAATCGCCAGGTGTATGGGCACCTTAACTCTGCTTGCAGCCGGGGAATTTACTTTCCTATCTTCAAGTTTACCCTAACAACTGCCTGTTTTTCAAGCCTGCTTGTTGAACAGAGTTGATGATGATGAGTTATTGTCCAATGAGCAGACAAAAACTGAAGAAGTGGAAGCTACATAAAGCAGGGTTATCCACAAGACAATATGCCAGAGGTATGTGAATCACAAAACCGGCTGAATTGAATTAGAATTATTATATCAGGTAGAACAAATAACATGTATGTATTTTCACGGTATGTTCAATCAGTTAGACTGCTCCTTTATGTATTTATTACTAAAAGAACTCATAATTTGAATCATTTTAAAAAATTGTTGCAACCATTTTTTGTATGTTCAGTTCCTCTGAGCAGTGTGGTATCACTCTTTTTTAGTTAAATAATTTTGTGCAATTTATTTTGTATTTCTTTTAATAATTTATTTAATTATGCAACTAGGAAATTAGAAACATTATCAGTTTCTAGTGAGTTCTCCAAAGGAACATATATAGATTGTGTGCCATAAAGAGATACAGGAAGTTGCAGAAATGCCCTGGTGGTCACAAGGAGGGGAAACTCCCAAGATAGGGTTACATACATGTATAAAAAGTTGATGAATATTCCAACCATTCCCTACTGTACCCTAAACATTATTGCCTCTACTATAGGTTATGTACTGCATTAGCTGTTGGAGAGAAATGTTTTATATTGAAAGGGTGTTGGACATCATAGATATCATAGGCCAGGTCAGCCCTACATCAAAATAGCTGTAAATAAGTGTATCTAAACCCAAGAACACAAATGTAAGATCTGGCAGCTAACGCCGCTTCAATGTGGTGGCTGCATTTTTGTGTTTTCAGGCTTCTCCCCATTATTTTTACCTGGTAATCCTGCCAATAAGATAATTTCTGTCCTAGCATGACAGCACTCACTTGTTGTATTGTATTTATGGAATTTATGGAGGAGCAGTGTTGTCACCCTAGGACAGGAAGTATGTTTAAATGACAGAACCCGCTCAGCTCATCTCTATAAGGAGTAGGTGGGAGTAGGTTTTCTATAGTTCACAGAACTAGTGGCATATGTAGGATATGGCATGTATGGCACATGCCCTGCGTGCCACTGGAAGGGGATGATTGCCGTGGCTACAACCGTCAGTAGTAGGGGTCTAGATTATATAGCATTGCTTTTCTGGGATCTGCAGCAGTACTCCAGCACTGTTGGTCAGTTTTCTAGCTGGAATGGGACTTGGACCTGCTACTTGACTTGTAAGAGTGCAAGGTGTGCAAGAGTGCAAGGTGTTCACTCGCTGTGATATGGGCACAGGCTGTGGGGTTTACTCAAGGGAACCTCACACCTAGCTTCATTTGAATAATGCAACAGATTGTTTATGGGGGACACAGATCAATCTATGCACATTGGCTGCAGTTGCTGTGAATCAGCTTCTATGTCCACTTTGCTTTTCCCTGGGATAGTTATTTATATGTATATTTTATTGTATGTAGTCTTTACCTTATGTGTAACCTAATTTGTTAGCACTGTTCAACAAGCCTGTGAGAGTTCATGTTGTATCAATTTGACCTCATCGGCTCTCTGTGAGTTACTAAACTATCCACATCTATAATTGTCTTCTTCATTTACCACATAGCCTTGCCTGTGTACATATCCTGCCTTTCCCCTCCTGGCTTGGGCATTTAACAGGTTGCAGCCAGACTCATGCATAATGGACAGCTGTTCAAAATTCCATGGATGCTACCTATTTATAATGTTTGGTCCCTGGAAATGCACGCTTTGTTTACTAGTATAAAACCCATTAATTTCCCATTCCTTTATTAGAGGTTTGTTATATAGTGTTGTCAATGTATGCAGCACTTTACATACAATTTATTCACATTAACCACGGTCCTCAAGATCCCTATCTCACATGCATACACACACACACACACACACACACACACACACACACACACACATATTAGGGCCAATTTCTACAGGATCTAATTATCCTACTAACATGTCTGTGGAGTGTTTTAGGAAATTAAGGCAAGCACAAGGAGAACATGCACACTCCATGCTGATAGTGTCGTGGTTGGGACAAACTGAGGACCAAGTGCTTCAAGGCAAAAAACGTTACCATTTCAAGACCACCAGCTTCTTCAGTTGTGCTCTTGGTATCATGTTTATCAGCAGAGCTGCCCGATCACTTGTACCTGCCTTTGAAGGTGCATCCCCCTGCTGCGGTTTTCATGCTCTTCTGCTCCACTAGGGGGCCTGGGACCAGAGCAAATGCTGTCAGGATGGATGGTGGTAGCAGACTCAGGAATATCCATTCCCCAATCTACTCTGTGACCTTTGAAGCAGGAACTGCTATGCTCTCAGCGCATCCTGCTTCAGGGCTGTAAGAAGCCAGGCTGAAATGCCTGGTAAACAGACAATCAAGCACAATCCTGTGTTTGATCATCTGCATTGGAGGGCAGGGGAGACATTATTGGTCTTATAGACCCCTGCTGTCTCCATAAAGATTACCTGGCACCTCCCAATGCTATCACATAGATGCTTGTTATCCCCCTTGTGATAGCAATAACACTAAGTGAAGTTGTTTTTTTTTGTAAAGTGTTAAAAAAAGAATAAAATAAAAATTGTAAAAAAATACAAGCAACCCTGCCACCCCTGCTATCTGCATGCGAATGCAAACATGCACCTAAGGTATGCACATGCATGTAAACAGCAATTGCGCCACATATGTTAGGTATCACTGTGAACGTCGGAGTGAGAGCATTAATTCTAGGGCTTTAATTCAGTGTTAAATCTAAATGGATGAGCAGCAAATATTTTTTGGCTGTATTTGTCTTTATTATAATATATTTACTTATTCAAAAAGGGCAAAAATAAAGCAATAGAAAAAAATCAACAAAGTTTTAACAACGGTAGATAACAAAGAGAAGAACTATAGAGTAATGGAGAACAAAACAGCAACAAGGTATTTAAACAAATAAAACTTGAACTGGGGGTGATAGAAGCGGCAAATGGAATTATAAGTGTGTAGCTTGCAATGCTACAATATCACATTGAGGAAGGTAATACTTAGTATAATGGGTATAATAACATTGTGAGAGAAGACTTAGAGAGCATCGTCTATTGACAATTATGAGTACCATCGTTTTTCACCATTGCTCATGCACAATTTGCATACAGCCGGCGCTCGTTCTGTAGTTTCTTTGTGCGGTTTCGGAGGCTGGTTGCCTCCGAATCCGAAACAACATTAAAATTAATTTCCTTTGACGAAACAAATTAAAATGTTTTTCATTTCCATTTGTTATGTCCGAAATGATTTTTTTTGCCTTGCACATGTCCATTGAGTATTATATTGTGTATGCACTAAAATTAATTTATTGTATTTTTTCCTAAAAAGTAATTTTCTATCCTTAAATTCAGATTTTATTATGTGTGTGAAAAATTGCTTCAGTCAGTCCTAAGGTGTTTAATAAAGTACATCCAATCAGCCACCAAATGGGATATTTCATAAATCAGTGTTCATCACTAAACTCCAAATATCAGCTATGTGTGCTGTACATTAGTGCTCTGGCCACCAGCCTTGTCCATATATTAAATTCATAACAGCAATTTCTTTGGCTTTTGTTTGTGGGCCAAGAAATCAGCTTTAGGTTAGTAGAAAAAATGAATTCTCGTGGTTATGATGTTGGAATTGTGTTTGAAGAGAGGTCATGCAGTTATAACAGCATTCAGCACTGTGAAGGTTTTGTCAACATTTTGAAAAGCGGCATAAAAATTCATATGCTTCTTCTTCCCCGTGACCTCCTAAAAGCAGGTCTCCTTTCACCTTTTGTATCAGTGTGTGTTGTTGTGTACTGTTATTTGCGACTTTTGTAATTATTATGATCAGAATGCAGAACACAGCAGAATGACTTGTGTAAATGCAAAAGGAAAGTTTGCCGATCTTAATATGTGGAAAAATGTATCTGGCTGGCCCATTAAGAGGCATCATTGCTCAACAGTCTGCAAATGAATAGGAAATTAGTCATTTACTTTGCACAGCTCGGATTTATCTATTGGGAAAAGCATACATAATTTGTGTTCAGGTCAAGGCAATGTCAGCGACTGGCATAAGACAAGTGAAGTAGTTAGGGATTTGAACTGAAGGCGAGTAACTGATGTCCGTAACAGCAGAAAATAATTGAATTTGATAATTTTCAGCTCTTAACACTGAATCCGTTTATATACAGGTAACCGAAACGAGGACTGGCCCCCTTGGCTGCAGTAACTACGACAACCTGGATTCTGTCAGCTCGGTATTGGTGATGGGTCCTGAGAGTAAAGTGCAGCTTCTTGGTAAGGATAATATTTTCTTTTCTTCCTTCAAGGTTCTCCGATTCTCCATGCTCCAGCTTAAAGCTGAATTCTAGGCAAACAGCTAAATGCACAAGCTGTTTTTTCCTGCCAAAGGATTGGTATTTCTGTCCATTCAATCTGAGATGTACACAGCTCTGCCACACAGCAGAGCCAGGTTGGTGACCTTACTTTCCTCTACTGAAGTTATACAATGCAGCCTGGTCACCTCCCTGCCCCCAACATATGATTGGCCATTAAAAGAGCGAAAGCGGACTGATGAGCTCATTCATTTCTTCTTTTCTACTGTCAGCATGTGTGTTATCAACACATCTGGATTCAATACACCTGATTGGCTGCTAGTGCTGCCCCTTCTCCTTCAGTCCGAGGGCTGCAGTACTAAGTTTCTAATAAGCCAATATCAAGTCAAATTGAGGAACTTACACTAATTGAGTTTACAAAATAATGAATTATTTTTTTAATGAATGTGTAGCTACATTATTAGGTTGTTTTTTTCTGCCCGGAGTTCAGCTTTAACAGTCCATTAATATTCCTCTGAGCCATTGTGATGCATTAATGCACACACATTAATTTGTGTTAAGGTAGCCTATTAATTATGGACAAATTATTTTAATGCAGCTCACCACAATGCACGGCATTTAAAAAGAATGTATGCATGATTACCGCTACACATAACTATGAATGCACCCTAAAGGTGATGTTACCTAAAATGGGTTACTCAGTTTTCGGTGGGCTCTATAGTTGATCAAGTTTTTTGTTCTTTAACCTCTTGGGCACTCTGGTAGGACGTTTTTAACCTACAGGCCTTAGAAAGACAAAAACACTTTCTTTTTAGCTTGTATCGGTGCTGACATCCATCCTCTGCTGGTTTCTCCTAAGGGTCATATGGATATGAAATATCGGGTGGTTAATTATTGCTTTGTGTAAAGACTAACAAACAATAATCCATATGTAGCGGTGAGAAAGGATCAAGGTCTAAAGTTCTCCTTGCCCCGTCAATGCCACGATCTTAGCTAACCAGCAGCCAATCACAATCACCAAAAACTGACAAATACTTTAAGGAATGTGAAAGGTAAATCCACCCCTGAACCCTGCAGCACTTTAAATCAAAGTGAATTTCACCTAAAACTGAAATTGACGGGCACTAACACTGCACTCCATACATTTGGGAACTAAAAAGGGGTGCCTAACAAATGTTTCTCGTGTTAGCTACTCTGATGCTGAGGCTGAAAAGTTGTATTTGTGGCTGTATTTGCCATAATGAAACTTGAACCCCAGTGCCTAGGGTAACAGGGAACGGGTGATAAGCAAATTATGGTAACTTTTTTCTCATTTTGTTTCCCTCTTCTGCCCACCTCTTGACATCTGTGCCTAAATGCAGCAGGTGCACTATAGGGGGATGCTGAGAGGAGTCAGAATTCTCTTTATGGTCCTGGAAACATAATAATGTATGTTTATGTTGGAGTGTACAGTTAAGAAGACATACAATGAAAAGTGCCTGTGTGCATGAAACATGATAAAAGTGACATAGTAACATAGTATATAAGGCTGAAATATAATGACCAAGGTCCATCCAGTTCAGCCTATGTATGCAAGTGTGTGTGTGTGTGTGTGTGTGTGTGTATTTATCTTACTCTAACACTTCCCATATCCCTGTAGATTCTGCGAAAGAAGAAACTCATCCAGAAGTTTCTTGAATTTATCAATGTTATCTGCATATACCACCCCCTGTGATAGTGAGTTCCAAACTTTCACCACTCTCACAGTGAAATATTCCCTGCAAATTCTAAGATTGAACCCCCTCTCTTCTAACCTCTTGTTGTGTCCCCGGGATTTCAATACAGTTTTGGGATTAAACAGCTTGTTCTTAATATTGGGGTCCCCATTGATGATTTTGAAGACTGCAATATGGTCCCCTCTCAATCGCCTTTTTTCTAAGGTGAATAAGTTTACATTTTGAAAGCAGTCTTCATAACTCAGCCTTTAAATTAATTTTGTAGCCCTTCTCTGAACTCTCTCCAGTTCCAGGACGTCCCTCCTGAGTGTCGGCAACCAGAACTGTACCGCATACTCAAGATGGGGCAGAACCAATGAGTTATAAAGTAGAAGTATTACTCTTTGATCCCTTGTTTCAATTCCTCTCTTGATAGACAACAGTATCTCGTTAGCTTACCTGGCTGTTGCTTGGCATTGCTTACTATTGCCAAATCTGTGATCTATGAACACCCCCCAGGTATTTTTCTATGTCTGACTTCCCTAAAGTAGCACCCCCAAAGTAGTAGTTTGCGCACATGTTCTTTACTCCCAAATTCTCTGAGGGGAATTTATGAAAATTGGAGCAGACAAAAACCGGAGCAGCTGTGCATGGCAACCATTCAGCTTCTCTCTTCAGTCTGTTAAGCGAAGATTTGAAAATGAAAGAGAGAAGCTGATTGGTTGTCATGTACAGCTGCTCCAGATTTTGTCTGCTCCAGTTTTGATAGATTCCCTTCAACGTGTCCATCTCCTGTGGAATTGATTTCATGGATTAGTAAATAAGCCACTTTTTGAATATGTCGTGGTGCCATTATCTACTTTTTCCGCAACAGTATTACCAGTGACAAGCTTTGCGAGCACCTGACCATGGCGGATAAGGGTGAAACAACCTAGAGCCACACCATGGCTTGTTTATTAATACATCTAAGACATTGCTTTTATCTTATAAAGTAGACCCCACTGTGCCTTCAATAACACATCCTAGCAGCAGTAATTATTAAAACAATCAAGACAGTGGAGAATATCATACAGATATGGCCCTGGTTGTATTGGGACAAATATTTATTTAGATCTAAGCAACCAGTACAAACACATGTCAAATAGAAAAAAATGTGCCTTCAATGTAATGCAGACATTGTTGTTGTGGCATCAGGTGTTTTAACAGACTCTTCAAGTAGCCCCCTCACATGGGAAAGCAGTGAGCAAGGGAATTTGAATATATTTTTAAACTCTGAACAAGCCCTTTAGGCTTCAACACAGACCATTGACCGAAACCCCTCTTCCATTATCCCTCTCTAATTCAGCGTTTGGCCTAACAGTGCACATTCTACCCCCTATAGTAGGATTAATGAAGAATTCAAGGTTGGGGTTGCTGCCAGGTGTCACAGTCATACATATTGATTGTGATTCATGTCAGAACAGAAAATACAGCAGTGAGGTTTTTAATTCAAGTCGGAACTCTGTAATGCAGCATTCTGTCTCCTAATGAGATTCTGTAAATGCTAGAGCAAGATGAATGCTTTGAAAGTATGCATTTATGAAAGCAGACAAGGAGTCACATCAGGTGTTCCCTAATAAAACCTAGATGCAGACAATGGCGTATTCAGTGACACTGGACAATAGAGGTCCAGTTGTTGTATCTAGTCACGCAATCCGCATTGAGCACTGAGGCATAACAGTAACACTCCTTGTCCTGCCATTTAGAGGCCCATAGCTAGGATCCTGTACAGCTATACCTTCCAATAATGTTACCTTTTTCCAACAATAAATGTGTTTTTCTCTTCATGTAACCCGGGACTCATGTAGGGAGTTGCACAAAGGGATTGATGTGCTAAAGCTGAAGAAAATAATATAAACATAAAATTGTTGTCTATTGCAACTTACTAAGTTTCACCTTTCCTTTATGAAAAAAAAAGTCTTCTGATTGGCTGCTATGGGCAAGAGTTTTAGAGGGGTATTCACTAAAGAGCCAAAGGATTGAGCCAAAGGATTAAGCCGAAGCTTCGGCTAATCCTTCGGCCGCCGGAGCCCTTCAAAATAGCCCTACAGCAGCTGAATCGGGGAGAATGGTCTGCCTAATTTTCTTTTACGGGGGACCCCACACTTTTTTTTTCTATTTTATGGGGGTGGGGTTCCTCCTTAAATTTCCTACCAGACCTAAAGGACTGCTGTCATCATGTCGGTACCTCTCTCTGCATCATTGGGTACTGCCAATGGCGTTGGAGAACAGCAAAAGAGGAAGAAGACACTATGTGAAATGTAACCCACCTGAAGATATTTTAAAAAGGTAAGTATAAAACAAATTGAAAAAAAATAAAAAATGTGTGTGCTTGGTGGATTCAACAAAGCAAGTTATGAAGAACATGCTCCAGAGTGGGGATACAGGATGGTCACTAACAGCACTAACAGGTGGTCATGTAACCTGCCCAGCTTGATTGGATGGGAAGTTGCAGCCACGCTCTGTTACAGCCTTCAACAACAGAATATTATCGGTCCCTTCCTCAATCTTCTACCTAAACACAGTCAACAACAATTCTATGAAGTATATTTGCATACTTCTATCCTTTAGTACAAAGTGTTGCATATGTACACCATTGCCCCCTACAGGAAACTCAGAAAAAGCAAATTGGAAAGGAAAGAAAACCTGTACTGAAACAAATATGTAGGCTGCCACTGCCAAACTGCCTAACAGGCTTGATGCTTGTCATGCTGGTCCATTGGCTTCAGCAATTTCACTAGCCTAGAAAAAGTATTCAGATCAGAAGTTCAAGTGTATTTATAAATAAGTACAACAGAAAAAGGAGAAAGTATTTCCACAGTGGGATGTGCAAATGCCCATAGGAAAAGGGGGGGGGGGTCTTTAAAGAAACATTCCCAGACCTCAGCAATAAAAATTTAGAAAAAACATTTATTTAGTGTGCCATTTTTAACATCTTTAAAAATATAAGATAAAAGACATATACTGGTACATTCATCACATGGTAACAATACCGTACGATTCTGAATTACACAGTTGTTTTTCAAAGTTGTATATATGCTCTTGTGTATCCCAACATGTTTCGCCCGTCCGGGCTTCTTCAGGGGAAAAAACGAGAAAGGGTATGTATCATGTTTGGACTTTTACAATCGGCCAATCAGAAGCAGAGGAATATGACTGGTAGGTGAGAAGAAAAACACTGTTTCATTTGTTAAATTCAGATACAGAATTATTCCAGGTATGGCGCTTGGGAGTGGAGCAGCACAACATCTCACCGCATAAGCAGGATACCATGACCTCCACCTGCTATCGTTTGTCGCTACTGCTCATCGCTTGACCGCCATGGTGTGCTTCTCTGAAGCGAACCCTTCTTTTTGCCCAATAGAATCATTCTGGAAATCTCTACAAAGTGAGATATATTTATCTCTTAATCAGTGTTTGGGGAACAGGTGTGCCCATTGGATGATTTCTCCTCACCTCTGGTTCTGGAAACTACACTAAAAAATATATAGCAATGTAAACTTCACAGAGGGTTGTAACTCTTGCATACTCTATGGTTATATGTACAATTCCAAGGTGGACTTTACTGGCTGCATGCCACATTTTCAGAAAAAGGAAGTCTCTATATTTCAGTACTTTCATTACAGGTTTAATTTACCCCATTACTCTAGGTAATAGCCACATACATTATTTTGCTTTACATAACTAGAGTAAAGGTACAGTATGTTGGGTATACTATGCTGTTTCTAACATTTGCTCATTACTAGTACTTTAATATAAAAATTGAAATAAGTTTAAAAAAGTAAAAGACTGGGATTACAGCTAAAAAAAGGCAAATTAACTTACAACAGGCATAACATTCGTTTTTAGAGTTGACAATGAAGACATTGAAGTCGTGGATTGTTTCTGCCTCCTGGAGTCAATAATCAATGAGAAGGAATCCAGCAGTCAAGAAATACAACACAGTCTAGAATTTGGCAGACTTGCAGAAAGGGGCTTAGAAGAGATTTTGCAAAGCACTGATGTGTATTTACAAAGATTCAGATTGTTCAAGCTATGTTTTCTTTTCTGTAACATTTTATGGATGAAAAAACTGAACCTTGAAAAAACAGGACAGGAAGAGAGTTGATGCTTAAAAGTGGTACTACAGGAAAAAAAAATATTTTGGAAAGACCACAATAGAAGTGAGTTACCTCTAATGAAGTCTGGAGGGCTGCTGGTTATTATAGAAAATAAAGTTTAATTCATCCCAGATGCTACACATACCGCTTTTCTTAAGGCTCTGCTACTGATAGTTCTGGCTCTTTTTCACTATTTCCTTCCTCTTCTGTCATCCATTCACAATAAGGCCTTGCATTCTGTTTAGAGAATACAGGTTATTTTGTGAATGGTCAAGGGGAGATCCTATTGTTTACCTGTCTCTCTTCTCCCTTTGTCCATTCACAGAAAGCCTTGTTTTCTGTGAACATAGCATTAGGCATTTTGTGAATGTACAGAGGGAGAGGAAGGAGAAAGCAACATGATCCCTTCACTGTATGAGAGCCAGAACTATCCGTACCAGAGCCTTAAGAAAAGCCTTGTGTTTAATATCTGGGATTAATGAAATTGTTATTTTCTATAATATCCAGCAGCACTCCAGACGTCATTCGCATACTCTTCATTAGGGGTAGCTTATTTCAATTGTGATCTTAAAAAAAAAAAAAGTTTTTTTCCTGGAGTTCAACTTTAAGTTTCAATTGAAACTCAGGCCTTGTTCACAACGAAAGCGTGTGCATTCCAGAGTGGTAGCTGCTGGAACGCACCGCGATCACTGTGAAACTTCTCCCCGTGTTTTGGGGCGGGAGGGGGCGTGGCGGTGCATTGTATTCAATGGCACCGCTTACATGCCCCCCCGCCCGCAGTGCGATCGAACGCCTGGCAAACTTTGCCAGCGTTGCGTTCCACTGCAAATGCAAAAAATAGGGCTTGCGTTCGATCGCATTAAACTTATTGCGGGACAATTTCATAAACCAGATGGTGGAAGTCCTAACCAGGAACAATGCTAAACTAGATCTAATAATTTCAAATAATGCAGATCTAGTTGCAGACATAGCCACTTAGAAAAACCTGGGTAATAGTGATCACAGGGCGATTACATTTAAAGTTGGGTACAGAAAATAAAGCAGGTTGGTTTGACAAGAAATTAAAATAAACCCGTTGCTATGCCCTGCATGATAAAAAAAAGAGGCTTGCTTTAAAGTGTGGACAGCATTACAGCACACAGTCTTGTCCTGCCTGCCGCAGCAGGTGACCCCCTCCTTCTTCTTCACATTATCCCTTTGTGTGGAAGTAATCTGCTAGAAGCTTTTAGGTGACTTGTAAACAAGAAAAGACTGTTTGAGATCCCAAACAGAGACCTCTCTTGTGAAATAAAAAAGGAGAACAAACTGTGTTGTCAGGATACAAGATTTCTTGAAAAATTAATGAAACTGTTACTGAACTGGGACTCCTTGCATCGCTACTCGTGTTTGCAGTGCCAGATACAATACAGCCTCTCTGTCTTAAATCAGTCAAAGCACAACCATCTCAAAACTTTCTTTTTTTTTGTTCTTCTAAGTCACTGGGTTTATTTTATGCTGGCTCACTCCGACACTGGGCATTTGGAAATAGGCGCAGTACAATTTAGCTCCTCTGTCAGCGAGGCGCTTGCAGGCAAGTGTGAACCTGATGTGAATGCACAATCACATCCAATTTATTGTATGCAAAGATGTTTACCAATAAAATACTTTTTTCTGCATTATTTATACTTAAAATAGAGCCAAGGTTGTATTCCCAGGGATCCTTTGTTAGATCAGACATTGATGTTCAAGCTGCTGTAATTAACTAGAGTTTCTGGGTCTTAGCCAATGGGAGACAAGCTATCAAGTTCTCCTCCATAGCTCTCCCAGGCAGACGGAAACAGGTACAAAGTGTGCACCTGGTTTTAATAGGTGAGGCCCATAAATAATAGTTACAGCGCCTGCTAATTAGCTTGGGTTGCGGAACATGCACTTATGCTATTCCTAGAATTGCGAGCTTGAGATCAGCAGGGTATATATTGAGATGAATGCCCCTTCGGCTCTATAGAGATGAATGCCTCTGCGTTGATATGTATACATATAAGGATTCAGAAAAATTCATTGCCTTCTGCTTCTAATTGGGAATATGTCTCTCTTCTCATTCCCAGGGCTGCAGGCGCTGCTTCCTCAGTACTTACAAGTGAGATTTGTGAGGGCTGCATTGTCCTACATATCCTGTAACTCCCAGGGAAGGATGGAGTGCCAAGGAGGCGAATGCTGGTGCCACTGTGATCCTGCCTACCCACAATGCAACTGCCCTGCGGAGGACATTCATATACTGGAGAAGAGCCTGACGCAGACGCAGGAACAGGCATCTGGTCAAAACAAAGAGTTTGAGGAATCTGGTAAGTTACAAAGTAGAGCCAGATCGGAACTGAGTTAAAGGGTTAGTCCACCCAGACATGTTATTACAGTAATATGTGGAGCCTGGTGGGCTTCCTTTATGTCTTGGATAGTTCAGCATTGAGATCTCTCTGACATAATTCTCAACACTGTCCTGTCTACTGAGCAGTTTTTACTGTTTCTGCCTGCCTCTGTGTGTTACAGAAACTTCTGGTGCATCATCCATAATATAAATTATATTCAGAAGAGAGAGTGGAACCCCACATAATGGACACAGCAGGCATACAGACTTAGAAACTCAAGTTTAGAGCCTTCACTGATAAAAATCTTTAATAGGAGACACCAAGCAACACCACGATGAGGTGATCTTTCTGGTCACTCCTCTCCCTCTCCCTGTCAAGGTGTCCCCTGCCAGAAAACTGTACAGCCTGATTAGTGGTTACTGCTAAGTCTGAGGTCTCCCATCCCAGCCCCAGTCCTGCTTTGCATGAGTTACATAAGGTTGATATCAACATCAAATTCAAAGACTTACACTAGCTGCATTTAAAAAAAAACTTAACAAAAAAGTGGAGAGTGGATACCACTATTTGCTCTCCGCTGGTCACCACAATGGTACCCCATGCCGTGGCTTGCAGTTTACATCCCTATTCATACAATGCATGCAGTGATTGTACTGCTTGGGGTGCCCCGCAAAGTTCTCTGTGCTTAACACTGTAAAACTTGATTGAAGGAGAGGTCAGTCGCATAACTTCGACAGGTCAGGTGATTGGGCTTTCCCCTTTGCTTTTTTGAATGCCTTTAAATAGCACTGCATTGCCTTTGGAGTCCTGAAGCAAATGAAGCGCAATGCAATTTGTAAAACTACTTTTTGACTTCGGTGAGGTGCACAGCTTTATAAATGGAGCCCTGAGATAAATAAAATCCCATTCAAATACTGCCACAGTGCCGAACCAAGAAAGATGAGTATTACCTCTATAGATCAATGAGCTGATTCATGCTGATCAGTCTTAGATCAGATTTTCAAAGATTCGCTCATCTGATGTGTTCATAAATACAGCATATAATGTTCTGATTTTATATGCATCCTGCTTTCCACATATCAAAAGAATTACCTCCAAATGAAATAATTGTGTTTGTGGATGGCCAAAAGAAGTATTATTTTCTTTTATTTGTTGCAATAAGCAAGCTTTAAATTACTCTTAAACAACCAGGTGCCTCTCTAGACACCAGTAAATCGCTTACAAACAGCTGATGCTTATACCTTTTATGACTATACACCTTTATCTTCAAACATAATTCCACTTGAAGATTGATTAAAAACAAATAGTGTATATATCGCGCTGATTCAGTCTGCAAGTGTTTCAATTACAGTTGCATTCCTTTCTTTGGATAAACTTCATATATTCACCAAAGGGAATTCTATTACACACAACATGAGGCAAATGCTTAAGACATTCTTTTATGCTCTTCCAAGGGGTATTTTTACCTGCATCTTGAATATTTCACCACTTGATTAACAAGCTGTGCTTAGTTACATGGAAAAACGCATCATAAATAAAACTTAAATAGGACGGGCGCTGTGAATGTGCCAGTCGTTATGGTTGATGCAGGATAGGGGACCACTGGAGCATAAAATTGGAGACATATACCTTGATTTAAACTCTCCCATAACAATTTGCGGCATGATTTTGTTTGTAACGGAAAATCAGTGTTGTCAATGATAATATATTTACCTGTGTGCATAGTACTCAATTTAAATAGGGCAGCCAAAGACAAAGAGGCCTTAAAATGCTGTACACAAGTTACAATACTTTCAATTCACAAAACCACATGAGCTATTTTACATGAGTGTGCGATTTTAATTCTTGATGGTTTTTAAATCAAAATATTAAATTAATATTTAACTGAAACTACTTTTTTTGAGGGTTGCCATGGCACTGTTTGCCTTTTTTGTTTTGCACACGCTTCTGTTTTGGGAATTGATTTTGGACATGTTAAAAAATAGTCATGCATCCTCCAGAAAATGCTGAGGGAAAAAAGATTTTTTGTGCTCGCCATAAAACCATTTTCTCTGGAGATCAACCGTAATTCACTGGAGGTCACAGCTCCCTTTCCACGTATGGATTTATTTTTTGCTTTGTTGCCCTTTTTTCCACAGTTGAGTTGTGGCAAGGTTGGCTTCATTGTTTTTCCTGTTGCTTAATGCTTGTTACTCCTGAGCCTGCATTGAATGTTGAGGCGTATAGCCACTAGATGGGGATGTACCCTTTGCATTTACATAGTGTCCAACCTCCTAGAGCCTTGGTTCTCAACTGGTGGATCGTGACCCAAAAGTGGATCGCGACCCTCTGTTCAGCGGGTCACCACATGCCTTCCACTGCACAAGGTGAGAGGCTGCTCTGCCTCCCTCAACGCAACACTGTCAGTTCTCACGCCAAGCAGCCATTCAAAATATACTTCCCAGTGCAGAGTGTCAGCTTGAGGTGGGATGGGGCTATGGCCGTGAGGGTGCTCCATCCATACGTGCATTGCTTATGGTACCGCAATGCCGTGCTTTCCATTGCAGTGTGACTTGGGTCACGACTTAATGACCAAGGACAAATGTGGGTCCTGAGGTTACACAGGTTGAGAACCACTGTCCTAGTACAAATGTAGAAGAATGAAGTACCTTGCCCTCCAATGAACTACTGGAGAAAAGGGCTTTATGATGAGTACAAAGAAATTCAATTTTTATCTCAAGTTTTTTTTTTTTTTTATCACTACATCAAATGCATCTTTTATTCTGTACTGCTCAGTAGGCACTTCACGGAAACTTCCACAGCCAGAAGTTAGAAATATTTGTAGGGGCAGAAATCCATGTGATATTCTTTGTGAACCTTACATTTAAATATAAAAGATAATATGTGGTGATTTTAGCAAATCTATGCAATACAACCTTTAAAGCCATACTGAACCTTCAGTTTAAAGTAGCAAAATTCACTCCAGGTGCATGAAAACAAAATGTGTTTAACATTTTACTGACTATTTTCTTTATAAAACAGGCAGCATGCTGTGGAGAAGGACCCTCACTTTTTGGAAGGAAGCAGTGGTCTCTCTACAGAGGTCTGACATGCCCCCTGCTGAGCCAGAGCTGGAGCTTTTCAATTAGTAGGGAGCATTACATTTTAAAAATGTTAATGTTTGCGCTTGTGAATGTCCCCCCTTTTAATTATAAATGAAAAAATAACTGATAGCTGCAGCGAAAGACCGACAAAGCCAAAAGCAATGTCGCCAAGAGTGCTAAACCAATACACAGCGCTATCTCCGCTTTTTGTGAACCAATTGAATGTAACCCATAAACCTTCAAATAGACAATAAAACAACCCAAAACACACCTATGTGTGTATACCACCGTATATCAAGTGTACACATAAAATACAATAAGTATGGTGCAAAAAATATAGTGAACAGTGTGAAATAATGTGTGAATCATAAATAATAAATATGAAATAACTAAAGTCCATATAAAATATATATAAAGTACAAAACTTCATCCGATCCTCACAGGACAAAGATAACTCGTGATCAGTTCAAATAAAAAATATTTATATGTGTAATCATATAATCCCACCCCAAAGGAAAAACAAATCTCCCAACCTCACCAGAATCAAATAGTCAAATCGCAGTGATCACAGGACGCTACTTTCAGTGGCGGACCTAATAACCAAAGGGCCCTGGTGCAAGATTTTATCTTGGGCCCCCCTCCCAAGATCCTGCATAGCCCACCTGGGACTCTCTATGGTGGACTCTTCAGGCTCCCAGGTGGGCTGGTCTGGTCTGGTCGTCGGGATGCCGCCCCGGTACAGTTGATACCCATGTAAGAGGCCCCCCAGACCCCTCACATGGGTACTGGCCATACCCCTCTGATGGCGGTGTTCTATCAAAGGTTGTGACTACGCTAGAATGTGTGACCGGTGACGTGGTCACATGTTTTACCGTAATCCAGCCCAGTTTTTCGGTGGTGGAATGTGTGACCGCCAATAGGTGAAGCATTCCAGCGCTTTCCCAGCTGTTACAGTGCAGATTGGCATTGCAAATCGCATGTGCAGGAGAACCGATCTGCCCTGAAATGCCACTTCTCTCCGACCGCGATCTCACATTCCAACGCACTCACAAAGTCGGATAGAAGTGACATTTCAGGACTGATCAGCTGTTTCAGGGCAGATTGGTTCTCCTGCACATGTGATTTGCGATGCCGATCTGCCCTGGAACAGCGGAGAACGCATTGGAAGTTTGGCTGAACTGGAGTATGGGACTTGTCCCTACACACACAGAGACTTAGCATTTCTCCTTGAGGACATCTCAAAACAACAAGATGTTTTGTATTTGGGGTGACCTTTACCACTGTCACCAGTGCTGCAAACTATTTTCTCAAATTCCCTGTAAATGGATGAGACCACTCTGATGAGGATTGATTTACGTCTACACATGGAACAGCAATATTTAGTAAGCCCGGGCAATCTTGACTACGTTTTGTAAATGTGCACTACATACACCCACACATGATTGCTTGGTTTTGTGTTATTTTAAATCTAGGCTATTTGAGATAGGAACTTTTGATTCAGTTCCATCTTTTGTATAACACTTTTGGAGTATATTCAATAAAGGAAGCATAGTGCACATTTAAGCCTTGCATAGCTACAGATCAACGAGGGGCAGACTTGGCACATTTATAGTATGTTATTTGTTTTCTCTGTATATAACTCTGTCTCCCCAAAATCTGAGTTCTGCAGATGAAAAAGCCTTTAGGAGCTTATGTGGATGACTCTATTGACAATCCATACTTACTTTTGTGCTGCCAGTGTTTGTTTTTTGGTGCATTTTCGAGCAGACATTGAATATGCACATGTTTGCATGTATTTAGGAGGGTGCAAATCCTGACATATACTATACATACTGATGGAAGTGGGATTATTCATCTTTCCTGTTTTAGCACCGTTTGATTTGCACAAGCAGACAGTGT